AGAGGCATAGCAACAAGGAAACCTTAGTCCCCAAAAGGAAAATATGTAATGAAACATTACTAAATTAGTAGTATCTGTCTAGATTTCAATGTTGAAAAGGATTCAGAGGCTACATCTAAACAGAGTAGGAAAGAATGCCATGAATGACTAGTGACATATGCCATGGATATAGGAGAAAATGCGATACATGTGTCAGATATATGTGCTTTCCTCTGTCCAATAATCAGTCCTCTTCAACTATATGAACCCCCTGGGGAGGATGTACATGGAGAAGATTAGGAAAATATGGATACCTACCCAGTAACCAGAGCAGAAGAATCAACCCTAGCTACCAACATCATGACATATGCTCCTGCCAATTGTCTCAACTTCTTTGTAACCCCCAAAGCTATAGTCATGCAGTAAGTGCTCAATAAGGACTTACTAACTGATTGAAATGAGTGTGTAAAAAAATACTTTCACAATAGAACTGTCCCATCCTTCTTTGGTAACCCTAGGTTAATTACAGTAGTTAGCGCTTGTCACATGCCTTAAAATTCCTTGTGGAATAAAAATATGAATTTCAAAGCATGACCATGAATCTCTACATTATCAATTCACAATCGCATCTGACATAAAATGGAGAATATTGTAAGCTGATAATTTTACTACATAAGTATAATGTCTTCTATATTCTTTGAATCACCTTTCAGAGTTGCCCAGATAGCATGAAAGAAAAAGGGGGATTCAGAAAATCATCCTTTAACACATGGGATTTTATGAGTCAAAGAGCGGGGAAAATCTGACTCCGTGTGGACTTCCATTTTGTATGTCATTCTTCTTCCGTAGGCTCACCTTCAATGAGGTCAGGAGTTCCTGGAGTCAAAATAGCGTGGGAGCATGGATCCAATATTGACTCATACTCTGTGGAAGAAATCTACACCAGTCTGGATGAGACAATTTGGTTGTGAGTGTTAGGGATATGACTGCTGATCACAGAGGAAAAAGGGCAACCAAGGTGTAAGTTTTGTCTTACGACTACTTACTCACTTAAGGATAGCATGAGATACGATCGAAAATCTTGCTGACGCTTAATGCATAACCTTAGCCAGTTTTCAGAAAGAAAGTCTAGCTGAAAAGAAAAAAGAAAGTTTTCAGCCCCTTAGTTTTTCGAATATGGTCACACTTTGGCTCCTGTTGGGTTTGTACAACTTTGAAAGAATATCTTGGTGGTGAATTATTCTGCTGTCTCAGTGTTGGTTGAACCAACAAAGTGTGAAACCTCTAGTTTGCATGTGCAACCTAAGGTGTTTCACAGTCAGAAAAAGGAGAGAAATGTCTTTGGTAACAAGACAGGAAAAGAACATAAAAGGATATAGTATTGTAGTGACAATATTCTGAACCAAAGAATTGTATATTAAAAGATGAAAATCTAATACCATAAAATTATATTCTAGCCTGAGATGCAGGACCAGTTATATAATTTGCAGGAAACAGTGCGAAATGAAAATGAGGGCCCCTTGTTAAACACTTATTAGGAATTTCAGGAAGGTAACAACAGAGCATTAAACCAAATGTGGGTTGTTCTAAATATATGTGGGATCCTGATAGATAGGTTTGTCCAAGAACTTGGGCCTGCGAGATTTCTAACCAAGAGTTTAAAAACTTTTATTTGCAGTCTTACTATTTTTTAAGGAATTAAAGAGTAACTATTACCTCACAAATTCTACAAAAAAAAAAAAAAATTCCAGAAACCAAAGCCTGATAGGATATAATGATTTGAATTTACATATCTAACACATATTTATTGGTTGGGGGACAGGAGAATTAGGAAAAAGGTATTGGTTATACACTCAGCTCTGCATTTTCCAATTGAATTAATTTCAGCACAGTAGTTTGTTTTTCTGGGTCTTGATTTACAAATCTAAAAAGTGAGGGAATAGACCATAGATATTCTCTATAATTTCATAATTCTGTGTTATGCTTAGTCATGACATCAAGTGTTAATAGAACTTGGGTGTTAGCCATGTAGTTAGTAATCCTGGGCATCTGGCCATATTATAAACACGCTTCTAATAAATATCTGTCATTTTATATAGGCACCCTCAAGGTACAAATGCCCAGACGATATGTAATTCCCACTTGTGTATTTCACTATTCTTTTTTTTTATTTTTTTATCCTTACCCGAGGATATTTTTCCATTTTTTGTACAGATAGAGTGGGAGGGAGAGAGAGGAAGAGAGAGAGAGAGAGAGAAACATTGATGTGAAGGGACACATCGAGTGGCTGCCACCTGCACGACCAACCAGGGCCAGGGACAAACTGCAACCGAAGTACGTGCCCTTAGCGGGAACCGAACCCGGGTCTCTCCGGACCGCAGGCCGACGTTCTAACCGCTGAGCCAAACCACTATTCTTAACTCTTCATCCCAATACCATCTTCCAGTGAATACATCAAGGGAATAATTGTAACTCCTTTCCAGAAAGTTGGGAATATTTCTTCCAAGAACTTGGAGTTTGGCCAGTAGTTTTCTGGATAGTACTGAGTGCATTCAGTGTATCTCAAAGCTTTGATAAGGGTTCCTGTCACTGATACCTGTAAGCACACTACTTGGGCCATGTTTTTCCTTGAGGACCACTACACTAGAGTTTGTGGGCAGCAGCAGACTTTCCACACTTTTCTCTGGCTTCACATGAAGCTTTGGTTGTCAGATATGCTATGACCTTGTTTGTTCTTTGGGCAGATAGCCCTTCAAAGAGTTTTCAGGCCTTTTTCACATAAAATAATACATGGAATTGTCCCAGGAAGTACGATTTGGGTAATAAATAGCATCATGTTTCCAGCATAATCATAAATTCTATTTAATTTAAAATTAGTTTTATGTAGGATAGGTCTGATAACACTGGGATTAGAACATGAGGGAAAATAACTCAAAGTAGATCCTTAATAAAGCATTCTAATTTATGTTTATTCAGTGCTGTCTGTGGACAAATCTCCACTAAAATGTTTTTGGGGAAGAAAAGAGTGTTGTAGAAGCAATGACGCAATTTTTTTGTTTTTATTTTATTGATTTTAGAGAGAGGGAAAGGGAGAGGAAGAGAGAGACAGAAACATTGATGAGAGAGAACATCGATTGGCCGCCTCCTGCATGCTCCCCACTGGGGACCCAGCCCACAACCTGGGCATGTGTTCCAATTGGGAATTGAACCGGAGACCTCTTAGGTCAATGTTCAACCCCTGAGCCACATCGGCCGCACCAATTTTTGATTTTAAGAAATTCAGTCCAACATGAGAGACAACAACACATGTGTAACTAACTCTAATATGAGATTGAGGAATCAGGACTCTAAGAAAAGTATGAACCAAGTTCTGGGCCTGTAAACTTAATTTTAAGAAGGGTAATTTTGGTAAAACTCATGGAAATAGTGCTTTTTAGGCTGGGCTTGAATGAGTGGGCACCACCCTCAGATGAAGGGAATGAGAGCTCAAGGCCAAAGGAATAGTATAAGCAAAAGTTCAGCACATATTTATGGGAACAACTAGTTATCCAACATGCCCAAATAATAAATAACTTTTACTGAGTGCTTATTATATGCCAGGCAAAATTCTTAGCACTTTATATGTATGATGTGATTTAAATAGTATCTCCTGGGAGAAGATACTGATACTAGGCCTATTTCGGAGTCATAAATGCTCAAAATCACATAGTGAGATAGGAGCAGAGCCAGGATTAAAGTCTGCATCCATAAAGATGATACTTTAGTGCATACAGTGCAGGTTGAAATGTAAGGTGGGCTGGAACCAAAGAGTGGCAGGTTTTCTGTGTCATCCTGATGTGTTTTACTTCATAAATAAATAACTAAGGAGGACAAAGAATCCTAAATTTTGCATTTGGAAGAAAAAGAAATGCAAAAGTAAAAAAAAAATTTCTCCATTGTTTTTATTTTATTTTATTTTATTTATTGATTGATTGATTAATTTTTGTTACAGATGATTCTCCTTTTTTCCCCCACTGATTCCTCCCTCCCCCTCCCCTCCCTGCCCCTTCCCCAGATTGTTGACCATGTCCACTGTTCATGCATACATGCGTATAAGTTCTCCATTGGTAATAATTAGTTGGAACAATAATCATCCAGAGCTATACTTTTCAACATGGTAGCCTCTAGCCAGAGGCTTGAGCATTTGAAGTATGACTAGTCTAAAATGAGATGTGCTGTCAGTATAAAATGCTTAACAGATTTCTAAGATTTAGTATGACAAAAATAATATTTTAATAATGTATATTGACACATATTGAAATATTTTGAATATATTGGCTTAAATGCAATATATTTTAAAATTATTTTTACCTGTTTCTTTTTACTTTTATTAATGGGGCCATGAGAAAATTTAAAATTATGTATTTGCTTGCATTAGATTTCTAATGGGCAGTGTTGGTCCAGAGCAATGTAAAGTTGTGGTAGCTATTTCACTAACTCTGATGAAGGACTTCCTCACCACGTTGGCCTTTTAACCACATTCCTTCCTTGCTTTTGGGCTTTTTGCAAGAAAAATTTTAAAAAGCGCCCCCTTGTAAAGGTTTGAGAGCTCCTAGAATTTCCTTTTCACCTGCTCCTGACCACAAACAAATGATCAATGTGCTCTGTCAACACATTGGAGGCAACATTTTACAAGGGCGAAGGGAGGAGGTACAAAAAATTTCCAATTCCTGAACGGTGTGAAGTAAAAGTGCTTTCAGAGAATCCCACAAGAGTGGCAAGGTGGGCATAATGGGTCTGTCTCATCGTCAAAAGACCCAAGGAATTGAAAGGAAACTCTAACTACAACACCAAAATGCCACAAAACCGTAGTTATTAATACAAACTAGCTTCTTTGTCTATCTGTCACCATCTCATCTTAAAAAAAAACTTGTGAAAATACGTAATCCTGATGAGACTCCAACTAGGTATAAATACCAGCAGCAAAAGGAGATTCAGTACATTTTCTCTGAACATCTACAGGTTGACTATTAGAAGAGAAAGATCGGCTGAGTCCTTGGTACCTGATCGGCTTAATACAGGATCTACTGACTTCAACAACTTCGGCCTAACTCTCTTTAAAACAATGAATTATACAAGATATATCTTAGCTTTTCAGCTTTGCGTGATCTTGGGTTCTAGCTGCTATTGCCAGTTCACAATTTCTAGTGAAATAGAAAAACTAAGGAACTATTTTGTAAGTATGACCTTTTAATAACACTTGTTTGTGGTTGAAATGACTGAGCATTGACTTGGAATTGTATCTATGATAGGCTGTCATCTCTAGTCCACAGTCATCTTGAGAAGACTTGGTGTTATTTTAACTAATAGGACTTCGGATGAGTTTTAACTACATGATGGGTTTTAACTAAATGATCTAGACTTTGCTTTAACCCTCTACTCAGTTTGCTATAGAGACTAAGAGGGCAGTCATGAATCTTTCAAAAGATGGGCATAATATGGGTGTAAAATGGGATGATGTTGATAATTTTATAGTAAGAATTCATTCAGCTGTGATGTTAAGTAGCATGTAGTATATTGAGAAAAAAAAAAGACCGGCTATTGATTTCTGATTTCTCAGCGTACCATGATGGTGATAGTAAAGAGTCAAAATTAGCATTAAAATGATAATCTGAAATCAACTAAAGAAGGTGAAATTCTTAAAGCTTTGGCTTTAAAAAAGGATTTATAGGTGTTTTTCTCCAAAAAGAGGTTTTAAAATTCTATTACCCCATCTGTGTTATCTATGAATTATCCTTGAACTCAGTTCCTTGCTGAGATTCTCTAGGAGTTATAATCTCAATTGTTCATGTTCTTGTTTTGTTACATGACTTTCTTTTAAAATTATATTTATGGTTAATTAAAATAATTTTTACATTATAAATATTTTATTATTTTCCCAAAATTTAGCTATTACAACCATAGCTGTTATACTTATGTTCAAGCTTTCACAAGCTGTTTTGTTCTCACAACATCATATCAAATCTCTCACACACACCTGGAACTATCTTTTAAAGCCACTCAGGTACATGTTATTAAAGATCTGTGCCATAGGGGGGCAGTATTTTATAGTGAGATGGTTGCTGATTTTTTACTAGGCTTAAAAACACTTTTTAAAAACTATAGTTATTTGAGACGAATTGAATTATTACCAGCCTTGTTGAGTTCATTTGTGACATTGAAATTTAAGGATTATACTAGAAAATAAGAAAGTTAAAATAGCATGGTAGTCTTTGGCAATATTCAACGTAATAGCTTTTGGGAATACTTGTTAGAAGTAATAAGAGGGTTGAAAAGAAAATCAGTGAATATTGTCAGCATCTAGGTGCAATAAAACTTGTACTTTTAGGGCAATTTATGAAGTAATTGTAAACCAATTTTTTTTTTCTTTTCTTCCCAGAACGCAAGTAGGACAGATATCGGGGATAATGGAACTCTCTTCTTAGATATTTTGAATAATTGGAAAGGGGTAAGCTGAATATTTCCATTTGGTTGATTTTCCTGTTGCTTATTTTCTGACGGATACATTCATAGCAACCTCTCTTTGTGCCCTTTCCTTTCAAGGAGAATGACATAAAAATAATTCAGAGCCAAATTGTCTCCTTCTACTTCAAACTCTTTGAAAACTTCAAAGGTAACGAGAACATTCAGAGCAGCATGGAGGTGATCAAGGAAGAACTGCGTGTTAATTTCTTCAACAGCAGCAACGACAAACTAAAAGACTTCAACAAGCTAATTCAAATTTCAGTGAGTTGATCTTACTTCTTTTCTTGGTTTCATGGCAGAGGCTATTGCAAAAGTACTTAATTCCCAGAAAGTAGAAATTAGCTACTGGGTCTAGTTGAAACTATGAAATAAACCCATGGCCACAACTCCTCCTTACTAATTCCATTTGTGCTTTTGGGTGATTTTGTCAATAGTCCATGTGGGGATGATTTAATTTTGTGATTTGGGAAGTGTTGGCACTATGACTATTGTACAAAGACAGGTGAATGGACAAATCCAGTGAGCAAGAAGGGGTAAGAAGTTGAGGGGCTTCTGAGAAGCAGTTCTCTGATGGCTCCTTGCTTGTACGGTGGAAATTCTCTCACTTTGGATAGGAGGTTGCATCTCTTAATGGAAAGAGCAGTGGGAGGGGAGAGATTTGTACTCTCCTCCCAGCTCGGCCACCAAGGAACTATGAGAACTCAAATGAATCATAGGCCTGGCTCAGTTTTCTCATCATAAAAGGAGACTGTTGAGTTCACTATAATTTCTATGGTCTTCTTTGCTCTAAAACTCTACAATGTCAGGGACAGAAAATGAGAATGAAGTAGGAGAAAGCTGCAGTCTTTGAAAGGCACAAGGGGCAATCCACTACCAGGCCCTGGTCAACCTCTCATATTGTGCAGTCCAAATAGAGGAGAAAGTATTTGTTTATTTGCTTTCAGAAAAGAAAATGAGTAGAATTTATACCTTATGAAATCATTGTTTATCAACTTATGGATACTAGAACATCTATCTCAGCAGGAGAAATCCTTAGACGCCCAAGCTGTATTTCACAAAATTGTCTTAAGTCTTTAGCTTGAGTCTAGGAGCTGCAAGATATTTTGAAGCATTAAGACAAATAACCTTTACAAAATTTTATTTAAAAGACAAAGTCCTCCAGATTCACTTGGGTTTGGCTTTGATATAAATGTGAAAAAGGGAGGGGTCATGATATGAGTTGTGCTGTCAGGATTTGTGCCCAAATCTCACTGTACTTGGAACTGAAATGAGTGCTTACCCTTCAGGATATTTCTGGTCTCCAATACATTAGATGGTACAAAAGGGGCTTGGGGAAATAAAAAGAATATTACTACTTTCCACTAATAGTGTTTTCCAATGTTCAGTAGTTGTCTTTTGGCCACAGGCTAGAGACGTAAAAAGGACTTGTTCCTAACCCTGTGCTGCCCTTGGGCTTGCTGCTAGTCTTGGATAAGTCTCTTAGTTTCTTGGTGATGTTTTGAACACTGGAAAGTAAAATTTATCACTTGCAAACACACAGCTAACTTTTTCTATTTTGTTGTAAGTAGGCCTTGAAAAAAATCTGTTGGTCCCATCCTTCTGGTAGCTCTAAGCCTCCTGCTTCATAATGGGCAATCTGGAGTGAGCTCTCAACCATTTTTCTCCTTTACTCAATTGCTATCATATTTAAGGCATGTTATGCCTTTAAATGATTAATCTTGCAGCCTAGAATCCTCCTAGTTATTCTCAGGAATGTGGCAAGGTGGCCAGTGTTTCCTGCATTGGAAAGAAACACAGTGGCAGAGCCAAGGTGAAAGTTAATGGTCCTCATTTTATTACGCATGAATTCACCTAAACGTTGCTATTGGCTTATGTGAGGAAATAGTTCAATGCACTGGAATAGAAGGAAGGGTACAGGGAAATTTGCTGCAATTCTCAATTAAAAATGTTATATCAGTAATTGCTTATTGCTATATACAAATGATTTGCTTTATTTTTAATACCATTATGGAAATGATGAGACCAACATAATTTGGGGGAATTAAAAATTATGATATTCATTTGCTTTGGACTTGGTATTTGAAAAGTACTAAACCTATCTCAGTGGTTCACAGACTTTGGTGGGTATCAGCATCACCTGCAGAGCTTAGTGACCAAATAATGGCCTAGGCTTCATGCACCAGGACCTCTGAGTCCTTTATTAGGTCTCCAGGTTATTCTGCTAGACACCAAAGGTAGGTACCATTAAGCTATAGTAACTCATTTCATGTAGCAAAGACTAAAGTTCAAGGTGACAGAATTGGTAGAGAACCTAGACGTCATCAAAAACAGTGGTTGAGAGAGGTTAAGTGACTGGTTCAAAGTCAGAGTTAATTTTGCTCACAAAGAATTCAAACCAACATGTTTTGTCATTATAGTTTAGGGGCTTATCATGATATAATTTTGAGAATTCTGGAGCAGTAAGCTTAAAGATAAAGCCTGTGCCCCACTATATTACAGCATACTGGCAATTGAATTATAATTTTAGTCTTAACTACTGAAGAAAGCACTGTTGTATATTAAGGTAATATATTGCCAGTAAAAATCATCTTTTTAAAGGAATACTTCTAATTTCATGGACCGTAACGTCAACAGCAGATTATCCTGATGGCTTGTATGCCTGAAATTAATATTGCTGTGTCCTTTTCAATAGGTAAATGATCAGAGCGTCCAGCGCAGAGCAATTTTTGAACTCAACCAAGTGATTCATGTGCTGTCACAAAAACCTAGCTCAAGGAAGCGGAAAAGGAGTCAGAATGTGTTTCGTGGCTGGAGAGCATCGAAATAATGGTCATCCTAACTGTAATATTTGAATGTTTAAATCTAAATCTATTTATTAATATTTAATATTTTACTTTATTTATATGGGGAATATATTTTAAACTCATGAGAAAAGTATTTATAATAACAACTTTTATCTAATGAAAATGAATATCTATTAATATATGCATTATTTATAATTCCTATATCCTACAACTATGTCATTGACCCTTTTTGGTGACTAGGCAAAATTATGTAATTATAAGGCTTTTTTTTTTTCTCAGGGGCCAACTAGGCAGCTGACCTAAGCAATTCTCTGTGGGTTGTGTGCTTATTTCACTTGGTGTAGTGAACACTTACAAACCAAGTGATGCCATCCAGTTGCTGCCTATTTGAAATCATGTCTGCATTCTGAGCCACTGCTTTAATAGAATGTTACACAGCACTTGAATGTGTAGGTCATATGACTTATCCCCTGATAAAAACATAGCATTTCATCTCATGCCTGGTGCTTAAGAATATCGCTGACAACTGTGACTGTACTAAAATGCAAACTATTTTTTTTGTTGTTTATCAGTATTTAATATATATGAATAAAGCATAACTTCATAAGCATTTGTGTTGTGACTGATATTTTCTAAGTGAAGACTGTTAAATGCACTGCGTACTAATGAATCGGTAGGAGGAAAGTCATTTTCCGCTGTCGAAATCTTAGAATTGGACTAAGTCCCATTAGATGTGGCGTTTCTTCCCACTGGCAATTTGTTTGCTTTCCACTGCTCCATTTGGCAGCTGTTTACGTTATTTTCCCAAAATATAGATTTAACTACGTCACCATTCATCTCAGAGCTTCTGCTTTGGAATGTAGGCCAAATTGTTTAGCTTGGCACACAGATTTATTTATACCCTCTCCCTCAACTTTCCACTGCATCTTTCATCTTGGTACCCCCATTTCCTCTGTCTACCTTAGGCAAACATCACTGGGTATGAATAGTGAACGTGAGCGTTAGTGAGAGAGGGGTGGATTAGAATCTTGGTCCTTCCATTGCAAGTAGTTTTGTTACTGTCATCAGCTAGTTAATATTAATAATAGGAAGAGAGCAAAAGCGAAGTCAGACATTATAAGCATGGTCATCTGGGCAGCTTCACTAGGGAGCTACAGCTTCATACTCCCCAGGGAAACACTGATCCATTCCCTGCAGATCACTGGGGGAAGGGATTGAACAAAGAGGGAGAGGGGTGCATGCACAGTGGAGTCGGGGTAATGTAGAGAAGAGACTTTCCTGTCAGTCCAACCTGGGAAAAAATAATTGGCTAGGGGGTAGAGCATTGCAAGTGCACAAAATCTTAGAGGGTTATATTCCCCAAAGAGTTCGCCTGTTTGTGCCCCTTGCTCCCTCTTGCTCTCTTGCTCACTCACCTGTATGGTTGCATGTTCTCTCTCCATAGCCATGTGGCCTTAAGCAGCTGCATGACCCATGGCCATACGAACTCCACATGCAATAGATATAGCTGGGAACACAAGCAAAATTAGCTAGTTGCTGAACTGGACTGTACCTTGATATGGAGCAGAAACTCTGGGCGCTGGCTTTTGCCTTGGCCTTGCTGAAGACAAGATTGGACATTTTCCATAGCAGGCCAGATGGAGATAGAACCTTAGAAGGGAACTCCTTTAATTTTACATAATCCACAAAACTCCATCCTCCCTTGGGGGCCTCAGAAAATTAGTTTTCCCGCAGCACCCCAAAAACTCCACTTCCACAGACAGTGTAATTTTTCATGAATTACTTATAGTCTCTAAGCTCCAGTTTCCTCATCTGATAAAGAAGATGAATTGTACCTTCCTCATAATATTGTGTAAGAGTTTATTCTTTCACTCAAGAAATATATTTTTTAAATATGTTTTTATTGATTTTTTAAGAGAGAGAGATCAAAAGGGAGAGAGAGACAGAAAGAAACATTCATATGTGAAAGAAACATTGATCAGCTGCCTCCTGCACACTTCCTACTGGGGATCGAGCCCGCAACCCAGGCATGTGCCCTGACTGGGATTCAAACCGGGACCTCTCAGTCCATGGGATGATGCTCAATCGACTGAGCCACAACAACTGGGCCACTCAAGAAATATTTGTTAAAGTACCTACTATGTGCCTGGTGCTGTTCTATGTTCCCAAAATACCCTTGTGAACAAAACAGACAAGGATCCCTGCACTTGAAGAATTTAAAGTTTAGCAAGGGGGAGGCAGATAATTAACAAAATATATAACGCATTATGTTATGTGGTAATTGGTGCTTTGGAAAAAAAATAAAACAAGATAGGGGAACTGGGAAAACTCTAAGTAGAGTAGAGTTGGTGGGCTAGAGGATTCAATGGAGTGATTGTAGCTGACTTCATTGAAGAGACAACATTTAAGGAAGCACTTGTAAGAGGTAAGGGAGGTAGCTATTTGGATTTCAGGCAAGGGAAACATCCTTGCAAAGGCTCTAAAGTGAAGAACTGATTTGCATGGTAAAAGAAGAGTCAGCAGACCAGAATGGCTTCAATTTTTAGCTGAGCAACTAAAATGAAGTTGTCATTAACCGAGATGGGGAACTGGAGTGAGCTGTTTTGGTGAGGGAAATCAGAAGTTCAGTTTTAAACATTAAGTCCATTAGATTTCAAGGTGGAGATGTTGAGTAGACACTGGCTTGATCAATCTAGAGTTAAGAGAGAAGCCTAGACAGTTGATATACATTTAGGAGTTAAGGCGCATAAAGAAGGTATTTAAAGAGTTAATAGCAGTTGGACTCATGAAGGTTATGAGTTTTACATAGGGAAAAGGAGAGCAAAAAGGTTTGAGTCTTCAGGGATGGCATCATTAAGAGGCTGGGAAGATACCAGCAGAGGAGACTGAAAGTATATGGCCAGTGAAATAAGAGGACAACCTGAAAAGTAAAATAGTTGGAAAACCATGTGAAGGAAGTGTTTTAGGACTAAACTGTGTTGAGTGCAGATAACTATAGTCAGATGAGGACTGAGAGCTGACCCCTGAATTTAACAACATAGAGGCCATAGGTTATCTTGGAGAAGAGAAGTTCTGAGGTAGACTGAGGATGAAAGCCTGATTGAAATAGGACTAAGAGGGACCTTAGAGATCATAAACATGGACAATTCTCTTTAGAAGTTTACTGTGAAAGAGCAAAGAAAGGGGTAGCTGCCAGGATAAGAGTAATAAAATTTTTTAAAAAATTTGTTTTGGTTGTTGCTTTTAATGTGGGAGAAGAAACAGCATGTTTATGTATTAATGGAAATGATCTTACTAAGAGCAAAACAATAGATGATATAGGTGAGAGAATGGGGAGAACTGTAGAGTGGTTTCATGAGTAAGTAAGAGAGGTCAACTGAAGACACAGGAGGAATTGGCTTAAGGCTGGTACACAGAAAGTACATTTTTGTTAATAGGTTGGAAGGTGGATTATGTGAATTCTGATGTTGATAGGTGGGTAAATGTAGGGGTAAGAAATTTTTACAGGTTGTTTGACGTTATCTCAGTGAAACTGGAAGCTGAGAGTAAGGTTTAAGGAGGAAGTGTTAGAGCCTTGGGAAGAGCAGAAGAATGAATGGATCACAGAAGTGCAATGTGGATTACCAGGCAGCTTGAGGTCAACAGTCATGAAATTAAGAGACACCAGTTGGTATAGTTGAGTGTTTGTCTCTATCTATATACTGCTGTGGATGAAAATACAGAGTAGGGAGAGAGTTGCATTTAGCAGACTTTAATTTGGCCAAGCAAGTAAGACAGAGGGAGAGAGAACAAGGAATCATGGGGAGATACAAGGGTGTACTCATAACAGTTAGTGCATTGGTGATAAACTCTAAGCTGGTGAAGGAGGAGAGAGAGTGTATCAAAGTTGCTGAAGAAGAGTGAAGAAGTGTTTGGATGAAAGGATATCATCCCACCTCTTGGTCCAAAAGATGAAAGAGAAAAATACAGCTACTATTTGAAGGGGAAGTAGGGAAAGCAGTGTCCTCAGGGGAGAAACAGTTTATATTTTGAATAAGAGGAAGTTGAGGGCTGCTGGATTTGGTTAGTGCTGGATGGTGAATTCCAGAAGACCCAGTGAGTAGGGGTAAGAGAGAAGCTGATAAAAAGGAATGTACATAGGAATGCATTGTAAGTCTGTGACTTCATATGGTCACTGACATAAACAAAAATAATGGACGTGAAGAAATTAGTTCTGCTGGCTTTGGAATGTATAGTGGTAGCAAGATTGTGAGAACGGAGAGGGTTGGGTGTCAGGATTCTTTCTCAACTATTTCACTTAACCCTTCCACAGCAGTAGGGTTAAATAAAATACTTCATGAAAAGGGGTCTATTTAGTCTTTGACAAGGATCAGTGGTCATTATTTTTATTATTGGGTAGGTAAGTAACAGTGGGTGAGACTCGATTATAAAAGTATCGAATCACTGATCAGGCAAGATTGAAATGAAATTGGGCTGATCTTGGCACAACTGCAACTGATATGAGCTGTGGTTGGTGTCTCCACTCTTGTTAGTATTTAAAATTAATTAAGGCAGACTTTAAGATATCTATAAATGGAGGGCTACTGTAAGATAACATTGTCTGGAGCATGGAATTGACCATAACTTTGTAGAAGGGATTGAAAATTCCTACCGTCAGTTGTTTTGAGAAGTCATTAATTGTGAAATGGGAAATGAAACCTCAGGTGGTGGGCCTTGGTCTATGGCTACATAAAGCACCCCCCTCTCTGAGGCTGGTGTTTGGCATAGGCTTTGAGATATGAAGAGATATCTGGGTGATGTGGTGGAAGCTCAGAATGAGACAGAGAGAAGACCCTTTAAGAGAACTTGAGTTGAGTTGGCCAGTGCAGTAGTTATAAAGCATTCTCTATATTGTATATTTCTTCCATTATGTGCATACTTAGTTTCAGAAGAGTTGTGGGGCTATTGAAGAGATGGCTTGTGCTTTAGTCTAAGGGACTTAGAGGGTAGCAAAAATTCCTCTTTCAACACCAGTAGGAGCAGT